TTTGCAACACATTGGATGGAGCTGGAGGGTATTATGCTCAGTGAGATAAGCCAGGCAGAGAAAGAGAAATACTAAATTATTTCCTCATCTGTGGAGCATAAGAACAAAGCAAAAACAGAAGGAACAGAACAGCAGCAGAATCACAGATCCCAAGAATGGACTAACAGTTGTCAAAGCAAAAGGGACTGGGGAGGGTGGTTGAGAAGGGAGGTATAAAGGGAATAAGGGGCAGTATGATTAGCACATATTACATAGGGGTGTAGCACAGGGAAGGCAGTATAGCACAGAGAAGACAAGTAGTGACTCTATAGCATCTTACTACACTGATGAACAGTGACTGTAATGGGATATGTGGTGGGGACTTGATAATGAGACAATAATCCACCCTACCTTAGGGCAGGGCAAGCAGTCTTAACTGATATGTTCCCAGAGCTTGAGGGAAACCACTATCTTGGAGAAGATCAACATCAATGAATTCCTCTGTCAAGTTTATCTTATAGAATTATCTAGATGACTGACTGTGAATAGTGACATAATGTCTTTAACTAAAGAAAGGCATCATGAGACCAAGTCATTCTTGTGCCTCCCACCCCTGCTGCCTTTTGCTTCATTGAAAGCCTTAAAAGACAGAATCCTAAGCCCTTTAGTGCACCTCCTCTGTGAAGTTGGCCACACTCTCTTTCTTTGAGTGTGTACTTTTTAAATAAAGCCTTCTTACTGCTCAAAAAAAAAGTGGTGAAGTTTGTCTAATTTGTAAAGTACAGTATAGATAATATAGTCAATAGTTCTGTAACATCTTTCTATGTTGACAGTAACTATACTTGTTGGGGTGAGGGTTTAATAAGATATTTAACTGTTAAATCACCATGTTGTATATTGAAACCAACACAATAATGCCTATCAGCTATACTTCTATCATTTTTTTTAAATGGAACCAAACCACAAAAAAATAAAAAAATAAAAGTGGTGAAGTTTGAAATACACTTCTTTCTTTCAAATTAAGGTATCATTGACATACACTCTTATGAAGATTTCACATGAGCAACATTGTGCTTTCAACATTCACCCCTATTATCAAGCCCCCCATACACACATACCCCATTGCAATAACTGTCCATTAGCATAGTAAGATTATAGGGTCATTACTTGTTTCCTCTGTGCTATTCTGCCTTCCCCATAACCTACCAATGTTGTGTGTGCTAATTATAATGCCCGTTATTCCCTCTCTCCCTCCCTTCCTACCTATCCTCCTGAGTCCCTTTCCTTTGGTAACCACTAGTCCCTTCTTGGAGTCTGTGATTCTGTTGCTGTTTGTTCCTTCAGTTTTGCTTTGTTGTTATACTCCACAAATGAGTGAAATCATTTAGCATTTATCTTTCTTCACCTGCCTTATTTCACTGAGCATAATACCTTCTAGCTCCATCCATGTTGTTGCAAATGGTAGGATTTGTTTTCTTTCTATGGCTGAATGACATTCCATTTTGTATATGTACCACCTCTTATTTATCCATTCATCTACTCTTAGACAATTATGTTGCTTCCATATCTCAGCTATTGTAAATAGTGCTGTGGTTAAATAGGGGTACATATGTCTTTTCTAATCAGGGATCTTGTTTTCTTGGGGTAAATTCCTAGGAGTGGAGTTACTGAGTCAAATGGTATTTCTATTTTTAGTTTTTTGAGGAACCTCCATAATGCTTTCAACAATGGTTGAACTAATTTACATTCTTACCAAGAGGTTAGGCGGGTTCCCCTTTCTCCACGCCATCACCAGCATTTGTTGTTTCTTGTCTTTTGGATGTTGGCCATCCTAACTGGTGTGAGGTGATATCTCATTGTGATTTGTATGTATTTGCATTTCCCTAATCATTAGCAATGTGGAGCATCTTTTCATGTGCCTGTTGTCCTTTTGAATTTCTTTCATGGAGCAGTGACTGTTCAGTTCCTCCACCCATTTTTTTAATCAGGTTATTTGTTTTTTGGGAGTTGAGGCATGTGAGCTCTTTATATATTTTGGATGTTAAAACCTTATCAGATAACTTATCTGCAAATGTATTCTCCCATATTGTAGGATGCCTTTTCTGCTGATGGTATCCTTTGCTGTACAGGTTTTTAGTTTAATGTAGTCCCATTTGTTCATTTTTGCTTTTGTTTCCCTTGCCAGATAATGTGTGTTCAAGAAAAATTTGCTCATGTTTATATTCAAGAGATTTTTGCCTATGTTTTCTTGTATGAGTTTTATGGTTTCATAACTCATATCCAGGTCTTTGATCCATTTTGATTTTACTTTTGTGTATGGAGTTAGACCATAATCCAGATTCATTCTCTTGCATGTAGCTGTCCAGTTTGCCAACACCAGTTTTTGAAGAGGCTGTCACTTGCCAAGTGTATGTCCATGGCTCCTTTATCATATATTAATTGGCCATATATGTGTAGGTTTACGTCTGGGCTCTCTATTCTGTTCTACTGATCTATGGGTCTGCTCTTGTACCAATACCAAATTGTCTTGATTACTGTGGCTTTGTACTAGAGATTAAGTAAGGGATTGTAATGCCCCCTTCTTTGTTCTTCCTTCTCAGGATTGCTTTGGCTATTTGATGTCTTTTGTGGATCCATAAGAATTTTATAACTATTTGGTTTAGTTCATTGAAGAATGCTGTTGGATTTTGATAGGGATTGTATTGAATCTGTATTTTGCTTTAGGCAGGATGGCCATTTTAACAATATTAATTGTTCCTATCTAAGAGCACCCTATATATTTCCATTTATTGGTGTCTTCTTTAATTACTCTCATGAGTGTCTTGTAGTTTTAAGAGTAGAGGTCTTTCATCTCCTTGATTAGGTTTATTCCTAGGTATTTTATTCTTTTTGATGTGATTGTAAATGAAGTTGTTTTTCTGATTTCTTTTTCTGCTAGTTCATTGTTATTATACAGGAATGCAACAGATTTTTGTGTATTAATTTTGTCCGCAACTTTGCTGAATTCAGTTATTAGTTTTAATAGGTTTTGGGTGGATTCTTTAGGGATTTCTAGGTACAGTATCATGTCACCTGCAAACAGTGACCATTTAACTTCTTCCATACTAATCTGGATGCTGTTTAGTTCCTTGTGTTTTCTGATTGTGGTGGCCAGGAGCTCAAGTACCACGTTGAATAAAATTGGGCGTCCTTGTTCCCGATCTTAGAGGAAAAGCTTTCAGCTTTCTGATGTTAAGTATGATGTTGGCAGTGGGTTTGTTTGATATAGACTTTATTATGTTGAGGTACTTGCCCTCTATACATATTTTGTTGAGATTTTTTATTGTAAATGGTTGTTGAATTTTATCAAATGCTTTTCAGCATCTACAGAGATGATCATGAAATATTTGTTCTTTTTGTTGATGTGGTGTTTGATGTTGATGGATTTTCAAATATTGTTCCATCCTTGCATCCCTGGAATAAATCCCACTTGATCATCATGGATGATCTTTTTGATGTATTTTTGAATTTGGTTTGGATTTTTGCATCTATGTTCATCATGGATATTGGTCTGTAATTTTCTATTTTTGTGCTGTCTTTGTCTGGTTTGGTATTAGAGTGATGCTGGCCTCATAGAATGAGTTTTGAAGTATTCCCTCCTACTTTTTGGAAAACTTTAAAGAGGATGGGTATTAGGTCTTCTCTAAAGGTTTGATAAAATTCAGCGGAGAAGCCATCTGGTACAGGGATTTTTTTTTTATGCAGTTTGGGGATTATGAATTTGATTTCATTGCTGGCAACTGGTCTGTGCAGATTCTTTCTTCCTGGTTCAGTCTTGGATGTGTTTTTTTCTAGAAAGTTTAGCATTTCTTCTAGGTTATCCAATATGTTAGCATATAATTTTTCATAGTATTTTCTAATAATTCTTTGTATTTCTGTGGTGGCCATAATGACTTTCCTTTCTTATTTCTTATCCTGTTTCCATGTATCCTCTCTTTTTTTTCTTGATAAGTCTGGGTAGAGGTTTATCTATTTTGTTTATTTTCTTCAAGGACCAGCTCCTGCTTTCATTGATTCTATTGTTTTATTCTTCTCAATTTTATTTATTTCTTCTCTGATCTTTATTATGTCCCTCCTTCTATAGCCTTTGGGCCTCGTTCATTCTTCTTTTTCTAGTTTCATTAATTGTGAGTTTAGACTGTTCATTTGGGATTGTACTTATTTCTTGAGGTAACTTTCCTGTAACAACTGCCTTTGCTGTATACCACAGGTTTTGGATTGTTGAGTTTTTTTTTTTCATTTGTCTCCATATATAGCTTTTTTTTAGATTTCTGTTTTTATTTGGTTATTGATCCATTGATTATTGAGGAGCATGTTGTTAAGCCTCCATGTGTTTGTGGGCCTTTTTTGTTTTCTTTGCATAATTTTTCTAGTTTCATGCCTTTGTGGTCTGAGTAGCTGGTTGGCACAATTTCAGTCTTTTTTGAATTTACTGAGGCTCTTTTTGTGGCCTAGTATGTGATCTGCTATGAAAATCATTCCATGTAGACTTGAGAAGAATGTGTATCCTTTTGTCTTTGGTTGGAGTGTTCTGTAGATGTCTGCTAGGTCCATCTGTTCTGATGTGTTGTTCAGTGCTTATATTTCCTTACTTATTTTCTGTCTGGTTGATCTGTCTTTTGGAGTAAGTGGTGTTTTGAAGTCTCCTAAAATGAATGCATTGCAATCTATTTCCCCCTTTAATTCTGTTAGTATTTTTTTCACATATCAAGGTGCTCCTATATTGGGTACATAGATATTTATAATGGTTATATCCTCTTGTTGGACTGATCCCTTTATCATTTTAATGTCCTTCTTTGTCTCTAATCACTTTCTTTGTTTCAAAATCTTTTGTCTGATGTAAGTACTGCTACTCAGGTTTTTTTCTCCCTATTATTTGCATGAAATATCTTTTTCCATCCCTTCACTGTTAGTCTGCATATGTCTTTGGGTTTGAAGTCAATCTCTTGTAGCCAGTGTATAGATTGTCTTTTTTTTTTTTCCAGGGGAAAGCACAAATGCAGTACTCCACTACCACAAATTACGCAGTCAAGTTTTCCACATTTGGGGAAATCACAGGGATAAGCACATCCGGAGTGCAATGGATAAACCCTGCCCTGGGAAAACCACCTTCATGATCTCCCCTGCCAGCTAAGTATAGATCGTCTTGTTTTGATATACATTCTGTTACTCTCTGTCTTTTAATTGGTGCCTTCAGCCCATTTACATTTAAGGTGATTATTGATAGATATGTACTTATTGCCACTGCAGAGTTTAGATTCATCATTACCAAAGGTTCAAGGGCACCTTCCTTACTATCTAACAGTCTAAATTAATTCCCTTATTACACTATTTCAAGTACAATCTAAAAGCTCTTTTTTTCTGCTTCTTCTTCCTTCTCTAGTCTTTATATATTAAGTATCATATTCTGTACTCTTTTGTGTATACCTTGACTGACTTTGTGGTTAGTTGATTTAATTTTGCATTTGCTTAGTAATTAATTGGACTACTTCCTTTATTGTCATTTTATTTTCTCTGGTGACAGCTGTTTAGCCTCAGGAACACTTCTATCTATAGCAGTTCCTCTAAAATATACTGTAGAGATGTTTTGTGGATGGAAAATTACCTCAACTTTTGCTTATCTGGAAATTTTTTAATCCCTGCTTCATATTTAAATGATAACCTTGCCTGTAAGAGTATTCTTGGTTGGAGGCCCTTCTTTTTCATCCATTAAATATATCATGGCCTGTAAGGTTTCTGTTTACAAATCTGCTGATAGCCTGATGGGCTTTTCCTTATATGTGATCTTTTTGTCTTTCTGGCTACTTTTAATACTCTCTCTTTGTCCTTGATCTTTACCATTTTAATTACTATATGTCTAAGTGTTGTCTTCCTAAGGTCCCTTGTTTAGGGAGATCTGTGCACTTCCATGATAAGAGACTATTTCCTTCCCCAGAATGGGGGAGTTTTCAGCAATTACTTCCACAAAGACTTTTTAGTCCTTTTTTCTCTCTTCTTCTTCTGGTACCCTTATAAGGCAAACACTGTTGCATTTGGATTGGTCACACAGTTCTCTTATTATTTTTTCATCCCTAGAGATTATTTTCTTCTCTCTGTGCCTCAGCTTCTTTGTTTCACTGTTCTCTAATTTCTATTTCATTTACTGTCCCCTCTACCTCATCTAATCTGCTTTTAAATCCCTCCATTTTATGTTTCATTTCAAATACTGTATTTTTCAAAGTTTCTATCTCTTTCATGCAGTTCTTTCTGAGCTCTTGAATATTTTTCTGTAGCTCTGTGAGCATGTTTATGATTTTCATTTTGAAATCTTTATCCAGAAGATTGGTAATTTCAGTTTCACTTAGCTTTTTCTTGCGCTTGAATTCTTCTTTGTAGAATTTTATTTTTGCTATTTCATTCTGATGGTTCCTATGGAAAAAGCTTTGCATAGGTGGCATCCTCTAGTAACCAGAAGCTCTACTCTCTAGAGCTGCATAGCACCTGGAAGAAGGGTGGGAGTGTCAGGTGAGCAGCACCAGCACATGCTGGGAGGGAAGCGCTCTTTCCTGTTTCTCAGCTGCAATGCCTGCTGCCACTGCCAGGTCCAGTGGGCTGTATGTACAGGAAGGAGCCTCTACATGACCTCCCTGTAGCTGCCATAGGCAGAGCCTCTTTCCTATCACAGGTGGGCAGACCAATGCCTGCCAATGAGGAGGAGCGGCAGGTGGTGAATCTTACTGGGGGCCTCAGGTCTGAGTTGCTAGCCAGGGGTATGGAGTCTTTGAAGCTCTTGAAAGTTCCCAATCTGCTGGTCTGAGTGTGCTGGGACTATTTTGTCCACCTGTCCTTTCTCCCGAGCAGCAAGCTCTGTGTAATCTTTGCATATTTAGCACCCTTCTCATTGTTGGGAAATCGTTCAAAGTGCCCACATTTCTTTTGTCCCAGAGCTGCTGGTTGTGTGCACCTGTTCTCCACATGCAGCTGGGATCTCAGTCTCTGAGTGTTCTGCCTGTCTTTGCTTTCCAATCCCACTATATAATGTGGGTTTGTACACCCAGAGCAGATCTTAAGGGCTCGGTGTTTTGTAGTCCTGGGCTTCTACTCCTGCCCTGTTTAGTTTCTCTTTCACCTGCCTGTGAGCCGGGGTGGAGGGAGGGCTTGGACCCCACCAGACTGTGGCTTTGCTACTTTACCCTCTTCTATGAAGTCTTCTCTTTCCCAAAGATGTAGGTAGTTTGTTCTGCAGTCTTCAGGTTGCTCTTTCAAGATTAGTTGTATTTGCTGTATTTTCATGTTATGTATGGTTTTGGGAGATTTCTGCCTCACTTCTCATCCTTCCATGTTTTTCCCCCAGGTCCAAATATACTTCTTATAAAGGATCATATGTCTAATTTTGACATATTTTATTTTCCAATTTTAAAATTTTTGTTCTGGCTATATTTCCTAAATACTTTTGATTACTGAGAAATGAGAAACAATGTATTGGAAATCAGAATCAAACTAGAGAAGTAAAATTACCAGGGTTGATGTAGAATAAGAGATTTACCATAATGTTTTGACTTCATGCACTTGTGATGCCTGATAGCATGGCCTTGGTCTGCTGCTTCATCTCCATTTACTATGGAGCCTTCCCACCCAGCAGGATAGGTGGGAAGTTTTCAATGATGGACACAAAGTAGAGAAGAGCAATGATAGCTGATACCTTTGTCTGTATCTTATGGGAGTCTACACTGGCCTTTTCTCATCTCCAAGTCTCCAATCTCACTTCCAATGGATGACTTGTAGAAGAAACTGTCACTCTACCAAAGAGCTAAACCTGTACTTAGCTCAGAGCTGAGATGCTCACAGCAGAGTTCCAGAAGTAGCTGGAGGCCTGGACTGGGCTGCTGCCTATGCCAACAATGTGAATACAAATCTACAGGAGTATTGATGAATTGCTGAAGAGCCAGACTTTATCAAGCATCCTTGAGTGAACACAGCTACTACTTTATTTTCACTTTCCAAGTCTCACACTGATATCTCTTGTGGCCAAATTTAAGCAAAAACATAAAAGGGAAAAATTCTGGGAAATGTAGAAAGCTTAGTAGCTACATCAACACATTCTGAAGCCACCACAGTCCATCCCATGTCAGCTAGGGACCCCAACACACCTCTTTTAATCACACTTAATTTCCAAGTAAATATACTATTATGCTTCTGCCTGATATTATGCACTTATCTTTATGCAACCAAAAGAATATTTTCTTCTCAAAAAGGGTACAGTGTCCTTTTGCCCATTTTTCACTAACGTTCATTCTTCTGGCTGTATCACAGTCCATTTTCGATAAACTATAAATTAAATATTACACTGTCAAATTAACTAGTGCTTACAAATATGACATTAGATAGTAGGAGAATAATAAATGGAAAGAGAAAAATAATTGGTTAATTCTAATTCATAAAAATTAGGAAGAAATACATATGACTGGGGCGGGTCTCATTTCTGCAAGAAGCAGCATGATTACAGTTGATACATATCCATTCTCTTTCCATT